AAACACTGCTGCTGTGAAGAGAGAGGTCATTACATTGAAATGTTTTCATTCTCTAGACCCTAACCCCAAAACTTAATCTTTATCATTAAAACAATCTGATTTTAAATTCAACTTAATCTGGGTTTATTACATTTTGAAGTGGACAGCATTTTGACACCTTTCCAACTTTTGCCTACAATTTGAGTGCAACAGGATGGTGAATATATATGCTAAAAATATATATACCCAATACATACAAATATATATATATATATATATATATATATTTACATACATATACTTCAGAGTACCTTTTGTTCTATGGCCACAGTTGACACGCAGCGACACTTAAACCATATACGGGTGTTTTCTTCTCCCTTTGGCTAAAGTGTGTTTTTCAGCCCGACAGGCACATTTCATTGTCTCCATTCAGAGTGAAATATAGTTACCTCATTGGTCATGACTGATGCCATGACATCACTGTCTTTGAAAAACAAAGGTGCTGCTTGACTTAATCCAACACGTCTCTGGCCAGAAACTAGTTTTTGCATTTTCTCATCAGGTGATAAAATAAAACCATGAGTCCTGCCTCTGATATTCTGATTTATATCTAAAAGGTCTGCTCTATTGCAGTGTAGGACTTCAGGTGAGAATAGAAGTTTTATAACTGGTGCAAGCCTACTGTGAAAAGCACGTCTATGTGCATGCAACGACACACACACACACACACACACACACACACACACACACACAAACACACACCAGCTCTCAGTGCCGAGAATCAGCGAGACAATTACAAAGCAATATCCAGGCAGATACTCACTGGCTCTCTCACACAGAGGGAATTTGGCAGCTCTCTTAGAATTGATAGCTATTTAGCTCACAGATAGTCATCTGTTTTAATGCATTAATTTTGTATTAACAGCACTGCCAAATTTAATGGTGGAAATTAGGGTATGATCATAATGGTATGCGGCTGTGTGTGTGTGTGTGTGTGTGTGTGTGTGTGCCTGTCTGAGTGTGTATATGAGTTTATGTGTACTCTTTGTATCTATACTTTTGTATGTGTTTGTTGCGTGCACATGCTGTATTATATGAGTCCATGGGGAGCTATTCTTTGGAATTACCGGCTCTCTGTCTCCCTTCCACCCTTCCAGTAATACCCACCTCCATCTTGTGTGAGCCGGACTCTCTCAGCAACCACACTGTTTTGTGTTAAAGGTGCACTTTTACTTTGCATTTAAGTGGATGGAAATGCAGATGTATGCAGTGCTCTGGGTGGGTGGTGAAACTGATACAGGCGTGCATTGCCCACTCAGAGAGCAAGGTGCACTGTGGAGTTGTGAGCGAGAGGATGGGGTGGTGCCCACACCGCCCCTGTCCCTCTTTACCTGAAAAAGCATAGAGTACTGCTCCAGCCTCCACAGAAAGAGACAAGGTGCTCCAACGAAGAGATGCTTGAAAAACCACGGCTGATTTTTAAACTGTGGAAAGCACCGTGGTATAAAACAAGGCTTAGAACTGGTCTCTCAGCAGGAAACCCCCATTAAAAATATAGATATCTTAATCTTATCCATCTCAGTTTTTTTTGCACCTTCCTCATGAAATAATGCAATATAAATACAAAATAACTGCAGAATTTTAAGACACATTAAGGCACCTACGATCACTGTGCCACTGTGATCTTATCTGTTCAATCAGACCACACACAACGTGCGTTCACCTGCATGTCTCCCACACCCATTTGCTGTTGAGTGCAATCACTGATTCTCGGCAGTCCCACACTTGTATTATCTCTTATGCGACTGCTGTAAATTCCCAGACAGTTCAGCGGTATTGAACCCGTGCCACTGACCCTGCCGGTTTCCCCCCATTTCGCTCCACAGCTCCCCTCTCGTCGGGGCCTCGACAGGGCGCTTAGAAACCCCAGAGCTGGGCCCAGCAACTCCTCCCAGCTCGACATGACTTTTTCATTAAGCCGCCAAATTCCTGCACTCCAGTTGGAGGTGATTTATCAACTAGGGGCTTCATTGCAGGTTCATAGGAAACAGACATAGACCCTGTCTCTTGCATTATTATGTTTCAAATTAAAAGTGTGTGTGTGTGTGTGTGTGTGTGTGTGTGTGTGTGTGTGTGTGTGGGTGTGTGAGTGAGTGAGTGAGTGAACGAACCTGAGAGGGAGGTAAAGTGCAAATATACTGTGTCCATACTGCAGATATGATGCGATACTAACAGTTTCTCACACGTAGAATTTCAAAGGAGTCCAGTGAGAATTCACATTTGAAAAAATGTGTGCATGAGAGGATCAGGGGCATGTTCTCATGGACGTTCTGTTCTCTGGAATACTGAATGAACAGGGACCCACCCCACCGATCATTGTCTTGATCTCTTACCCTGTTTACTGACTCGAAAATACCCCAGACTGCCTTGGGTCACGGCCAGTGCAGGGATGGTGAAAGTGGTGGTTTACAGGTGTAACCGTTTGACATTGTAGACACAGCTACAAGCACCGGGGCCGGCCGGTTTTGGCCCTGTTAAGACCATCTTCCTGGATAGTCAGGTTTATAGTGAATTATGGCCGATTCTGGGGCAGCCAGTCTCAAGTTCACTCCTATATAAACCCTGTGGTTTTTATGGGAAACTATAAAACTCCCAGAATTTTTTCTCTACCCCCTGAGACCAGCTTTGAAGTTTTCGGTCAGGTGCTGTCATTTTTTTTTTTAACTTGTCTTCTTGTAGATTTTTGCAGCCTTGAGTCATTTGTGGCAAGAACTCTCTCTTTTTTTAATTCAAGACATCTGCTATGGCTAAAAGCAGTTTGCATGATGGATTTGGTGTTATCTATAACTGAATCTGTCTCTCAGGTTTCGCTCTCTACCTTATTTCTGATGCAATATTTGTGCACAGAGGAAAAGGAGGGGAAGGAGGAGGAGAGCTCCCACAATATCCAGCAACACCTATTCATGACATCATGGAGGGCTTAAAACGAGGCGAGAAAGGAGAGCACACAGAGACACACAGCCTTTTACAATCACCTAATAACTCTATTACACCGAGCTGTGGGGCTCACAAAAAGGAGGAGAAAAAAAAAACTCCTGTTCCTTTTCCTGGAAGCGGTGTTTTAATGCACATTTTAGGTGTAGAAACGAGAAATATGAAACCAAAGAGAATGAAACACAATAGCTCAGAAAACCCCATAGCAATATTACAATATTGCCAGAAAATTAAACATTAGGAGAAAGGGACAAGAGCATTTTAGGGAGGCATAATATTGTTATGACTTTTTTTTCACCAGGCTGTCAACACCTGATTTCGATGTAATGTGGTTAAATGTCTAATGTTTCCATCGCTTTTACATTGTGCATCCAGGCAAACATGTCATCCAGTGCAGGAGAGGATAGTTCAGTTTCTTTTTGAAGAATGATTCAGTTTTCTGAACCCTTTAAGTGTAACTCAAATGATCACAGAGGCATTTATGCTCTTTAAATGCAGAACTGTATATCCTTTTAAAACATACTGATTAAATCGCTGGTAAACCCACAAAACCTTTGACTCCTTCCCCATTGCCATAAGAGTTTAGTTTGCTTTTATATATTTATTTATGCTTTTTTCCCTCGTTGCATCATGAATGCTGGGAAAACTGAGGTGCTCTCACTCTTACCAAATTAGCGTGTTCACGTTGGCATCACGTTTCCATCACTGCCGATCGGAGCCGATAAAACCCTGTCTACAGCATTGTCATTTGACCTGGGAGTGAATGCCGATTGTATCCAATGCCCATTGCAGACAAAAGCCTGATGTTGGTTGATTTTTGGACCAGTGTAAAAGGGGTTTTAATGATATAAGTAATTAGCTCCTTCTACCTGCAGGTTAATTTCCATCAGTGCATTTTACCTTGTTAGAAATGACATGGACAGCATGTTGTAGTTGCCTCAGCATATCTTACTAGAGATACGAAGGCTGAGAAGATTAGAGTCGAGAGAGGAAAACTTGTGGTGATTGACATCGATCGCAGCCCTAGATATCCACAGCAAGACTCCAGAGTTTGATATAGGAGAAGCACATGACTGGTATGACACAAGTGGCCATACTGAGTCTGGGGCTTTTTATTGTAAACATGCAGAAACCATCAGTGTGAGGCTTTATGGTAATGGTCAATAACCCTGTTGCTCACACCAGGCCCTGCCATATTGTGTCGGCCTTGCATCATTGATTGAGCCGTGCAGGAGGTAATTAGACTGGAGCTCGGTGGTGTGACAGGAGGTTGTGGTGGGATCGTGTCAGTACTGGGTATTAGGAGTGTTGTGACAGTGTGGAGGGTGGGCTGGAGACCAGGACTAGACCTGCTGTTGAGTCTTGGATGAAGCACCGGGGTTGACAGGTCAGTAGTGGCGCTGATTTCCTGTCCTCTGAAGGTTGTCCTCCTGTTGAGGAATGTTCCCGTCTCTCTCAGAATGTGCTCCGTCCCCCTTCCTGCCTCACCACCGGCTGACTTTGCCTCTCTGTCTCTATAAGAGAGCGAGGATTTAACTCACCGTGATCAATATTTAGTATCCCATGCGTGAAACAGGCAGATGTTTGGAGTTTCCTTTTCAGAGACGAGAGGCTTCTGTTGAGTGAAGGGGATCAATGCTCCCTTCCGTCTGTGAGGCTGTGGACCCACAGCCTCTGAAGGGTGCCTGATGCGATTCCTGCACGCGCTCGGGCCCCTGAGATTTGCGTGCCTCGCAGGCCTCCCCTGTCCTTTTAGTCCGCCGATACAGACACTCATGCAGGCAAAGTGCGTAGTCCAAACAGTTGTCCTGAAGTGGAAGAGGTCTGGATGTTAAACAACAGGTCTGTGATTGGGAATTGATTTGTTCATTTGCCAACTGTGTGAGTGAAAGTGAGTCGGTAGTGCCTAGCCAGCTATATGCCATCTACAATAACCTCTTTTTCTCTCTTTTCCTCTTCCTCTTTATCTGTCCTCCTTTCTTTCTCTCTCTCCCTCTCTTGCTCGCTCTCTCTTTCCCCTCCCACAGCACCTGCAGCAGCACGAAAACGCGGTGGAGGGTGATGCCTGCTATTACCATTGTGTGCTGTGTAACTACTCGACCAAGGCCAAGCTCAACCTGATCCAGCATGTGCGCTCCATGAAGCACCAGCGCAGTGAGAGCCTCAGGAAGCTTCAGCGCCTGCAGAAGGGCCTGCCAGAGGAGGAGGAGGACCTCAGCTCCATCTTCACCATCCGCAAATGCCCTTCTTCAGATACAGGTCAGAACCTGCCCCCTGTGGCCTTTCTTTAAGTTTCTCTGTATGTGTGTGTGTGTCTCCTCTCTTCTCTCTTGATCCTTCCATCCTGTCTTTTATACACACCCAACCATTCGCACAACTGAGACACTACATGTTGGAATTGTCAAAATTTCCAATCGCTGTTGATCTTTCCACTTTCACACATTATTCTCTAGAATTAACATGAGTGGATAATGTGTAGAAAATCCAACAAGATATAATTTTAACTCAGGTTCTTGTTATTGCTGTTACACTTTTGCTGTATTGGTTTGAAAATAACTCAAATACTATTATTTAACTCAAATGTACATTGCTATTTTAAAACTGGAGACGAACAGACCAATTAAGTCTGTTTTATCATTGACAAAACTGAGGGAAAGTCTAAAAAATGGTGGAGTAAAGTCAGGAATAATAATTTTCTTGCTAACCCTGCTCCCCCTGTTAACACAAGCTGTCCTTTTTGTCCATTAAAGACATATTGAGACTAAGGAGAAGGAGGAGCTGCACAACAGTAGCAGCTGCCACAACAACAAGAACCAGCAAAAACAGACAACAGCTACAACAACAGTAGCATGTCTGAAACAAAGTGGCCTGACTGCTCATTTATTATTGGCTGATTAGGAAGAGTGAGCTGTGGTCAATTAACACTCTTTCTTAGCAGAGATTTGGTTTTCTAATCACTTTAACTCCTGTGCCCTGACAAAGGGGCTCTATTGTGTTACCCTCCAAGAGGGAACCATTCCTTCCCTCACACACATACTCGCTGTCTGTGTTCTGTAGGGGGAGAAGAAAAAAAGGGCCAGCCTGTGAAGATGCTTTGTTCCAAGGAGGCAGGGATAATGAACCCAGCGGCCGGGAAATTGCGCAGAAGGCAGTCACAGATCTGAAGCAAATCATTAGAGAACATATTTAGCTGAGCAATTAGGGACAATTAAGCTTTCTGCTCGCTGCACTCCAAATATGTTAATGACTACAGTACAGTGGACAAACGAACATGCAAAGGCAGGAGGGGAAGGGCCTTTTAGGTTAAAAGGGTTGGGGGTTGGGAATTCACTCTTGTGTGTTCAGGCAGGAGCAGTTGTTGTCCTGTTTGCAGATAAATGTGTTTATCTGTTTTTTGTTTTCTTTTTCATTATGCCAGATGCCTATGTGTGTGCCACAGTGAGGGATCCCAGCATTAGGTTAGATAATGGGCCTGTGCAGCGGGGCTGTGTGTGGGCAGCATCACTGAACATACACACGCACGTACACACTCGTGCATGTAGACAGTGGTTATCCTCACTTCCACCATTTCACACCCCAAATGCCTCATTCCGACAGCGTCCATCCACGTCATGGCTCCACCCCTGCAGCCGGGCTGAACCGCTCTCTCCCTGTGTAATGTTTAATTTCCTCCACGCTGTTTCTTCTGTGGCACACGGCTCTTTTTGTGGTCGAGGCACAGTTGCTAAAGTGGGGGAACATTCACTGGCTTGTTAAAACAAAGTTGCCCCTGGATTTCTGGGTCACCTAGACAGTAATTCCTTTGCCTGCTGCGGTTCTGTGATCCTTTGAGTGGTTCTCTGCTAGAGTTTGATGCTGGGCTCGATGCCTGCCCCGGGATTCTTTTCCCAAAACATATGAAACCTGCTTATTCCCCCTGAAAGCTCAAAACTATATAATCAAACACATGAGAACATTAAACAGAACGGTGGCATGAAATGGTAGCATGACAATATTTATATACAATTCCTCCATTTTTAGACAATAATGTCTTTAAGCCTTGCTCTTTAAGTGTAGCTGAGTGTTCTGGTATGTTTTACACTTTATAACTTTGCATGTTAATGCCCCTTATGAGGATGCAGCAAACATATGCTGTGGAGATTCGGTGCCACAAATCTCCTGTGGGCTGGACGTGGATCTCGTAGAAGAGCAACAACAGCAGAAATGAGGTTTCTTTCCAATTAGACTAACACAGGGATAACAGGCCTGCATTGTTTTAATTCAGGCTCATAGTGAAAATGTGCTGCTTAGGCATGTTGCTCTGTCGCCCCGCCTCCATTTGTCTTCTTTAACCCTTAATCTATGGGGAAAGAAGGAAGGCCTCAGAGGAAAGCCACACAGCTCACCTGTGTGTAGAGATCACTGAGCTCAGCGCTGGCTTCACTGCACCGGCTGCAACAGTTCTAGTTGTAAGGGTGGCAGGTCATTACAAGGTGGCAGGTATACACAAAAAAACTGAAAAGGAGACGTGTATGTGGCATGGGATGCGAGGGAGGAAATGTTAAAACTCTCCTAAAATGTTCATGTGTGAGGACAGTTGGTCTGACAGCATGAAGACAAAATATATTTTAGGTTTAGAGGTTACAGAGAGGAAGTAAAAACCTGTCGTCGTGCTGATGTCAAGTGTGGGGGATAATGGCGACTGCTGATGGCTGACGACTGTCATCGTACAGCACCAGGGTACACGAGAGTCCAATACTGTACATGGAGAATAAGAGGAAACAGTCAAGAATGAGTGTAGAAGTGGGGGAAACGAGTTTGGGGAGATTCTGCGTGTTTGCCCTGGTGACACTTGAGTGTAGGATGACCCTATTTCTTAAGAATGGTGTTCACCAGGGCATACAACTCAGTGACACATTGAGGTTTCTCATTTCTTAACATTTAATCAACTCAAAAGTTATTTTTTGAGCGTAGAATGGAATGAATGTCTCTAAAAAGGACACCCCCTCTGCAAGGAATGTTGGGTTTTATTTTGTGTGTGTGTGTTAGAGAGAGAGAGAGAGTTAGGTAAAATATTAGTATTTTTCAGCTGTGGCGTATGTGTGTGTGTTTATATGTATGTGTAAGGATGAGGCAGAGATGGAGAATAAACGTGGCTGACAGTGTGGATTAGCTCCTGCTGTAAATCCGCCTCAGTCACAGATGGCAGGCCCTTGATCGCTGGGCTGTGACGGCTTGGCTCTCGTCGCAGGAGGAAATCCCTGTCTGTGAGCCTGGAAGGCTGGGAAGGAGAAGGCTGGGGCTGGGGCCGCCTGGGCAGCCACCACTCATTGTCTCCCGTCCTGTTTGGACACAGAGGCCTGAGTATACCTCGGCTAAAGTGCAGTCTAGGTAGGGGTTATCTTTACTTTGACTTCGCAGTTGTTTCATCCACCACACTGTGAGAGTGTGTAAGCGGAACTTAAGCCCCCAGTTTAGATCAGCATTACTTTTAATGACCAGTTTGAGAAACTGGGCAGGGGCAGCCGTGTGCATTATTAAATGGAAATGAGACGAAAGGATGCATACAAATTACTGCATAATAGTGGTATCCAATATGAGATCCATTGCTTGTTTCACTAAAAGGGGTGCCTTTCAGGGTCACACACCTAATAGCAAGCCCTGTCCTGACAACAGAGGCATTCCTCTTCCCTCCCCACATCCCTCCCGCTCCCATCCTGCCTCATGCATAATTCTTGAGACAATCTGAAAAAGCTGGAAAGGGGACTGTGACACAGAAAATGTGCCAATAGAGAAAATAGGGGAAAGTCACTCATATGTCCAGGTTTTCACGAACACCTTGCAGCTCACATTGAGATTCAACAATTGCAGATGGGATGTATCCACATTATCATGGCTTTACCTTTCCCTGCTGTCATACATAAGTTATTTGCATGTCCAGTGGCTGAGCTAAAGCTGCTAAAGCCAGGTAAAATCAGAGGTGAGCCAGGTCACGCTCTGATGGCATGCAAAGGCCATGGCCCAAGCTTTTGCCCCCCACAGGCAAGAGCAAAACAGACGGTAGCCATTTCTGGAATGTCCTCTTTTATTCATGCTTGTTAAAATGCAAAGTAAACCTTTCCCGAAACAGGATATTGTAGCCCCTAACCACCAGGCCCATTCTACATGCCACATTATGGCCAATCTGAAAGTAACTTGTATAGACAGACACTGCTGCAATGCGCTTTTAATAAAGGCTGTTATTGCCCTGGTGATGCAGAGTGGATATGAGGATGAGGACTGTGCAGGCCTGGATGAGCAGGGCCCCAGAGGGCCCGCAGCTCAGTCAGGCCTCCGTCAGTCGCCTGCCTGCTAATCCTTGTCCAAAGGGCATCTAGGAAGCATAGGAAATTGTTTGCTGTCCACAGAACGTGCCAGGAAATTCATAAATACATTACTTTTCATTTTGAAAATATTACAAAAGACTAGACGTTTATTAAAAAGTCAAAATGATGGCTTTATAGATTTTCCAGTTGTGTATCAGCATTCATATGACTGCCGCTCTAACTAACACTAGCAAGTCTTTGCTTCCCCTGTGCCCCCTGCTTCACTGACAGACTAAGAATTCCTCTGTTGGCTCATCCTGTAATAGCAAATTGACCAGAAAGCCGCCACTCTATTCTGGGATTGGCTGTGAATAAAAACGTCTGGTGTCCAGGTTTTTACTACCTCCCGACTGAACCCTCATTCTGTAAATACTGACTAGCTTTGTCCTCAGGCTGGAAGGTGGGTAAAGTCTGCATGGTGTGCCAGTCTGTCCAATACTCCAGAGTTAGAAGGAGAAGAAAGACAGCATGCAGTAAATGTCTTAGATTTTACTCTGATACTGAAAGAAAGAGAGTGGACAAGCTGATACATGTGGAACAACAAAGAACTCCCCTCTTAAAGTTACGACAAACTTTTTAATGCCTGTTGTAGGTGAGGAGACTCAGGCAGAGTCCACCTGGTGTGTGCTCTGTATGTTTTTTGCCCCGTGTGTGATTTCACTGTCAGTTATGTCATGTGGGTGCAAATGTGCAATGGATTTTATTTTGCAAACTCACACACCCATAAATGAGCACGCACATAGGTGTCCGCACTGAGGACCAGGCCGTGTGTGGGTGCGAGAGGCTCTCCCTGTCATCAAGCCCATTTTCAGAAGAGACGGGCAGCACATTATAATATTGGTTTCCCTCTCTCCTGTCATTACCAGACACTCTCCTTGAAAGCTGATCCAAAAGATAGACAGTCCATCAGGAGAC